GAACCGTTATTGGAAAGTAGACCATTTATAGCTTCGAATTCTTTTGTACACATAACATGATATATAACTAATTAAGGAAGTTTCGAAAAGATGAGTTTTGAAAGACTAAGTTCAGCGAACGAAGAATATTTGCATTCCCGACAATACCCTTTTTTTCATCCCTTTCAACAGAATTATAAAGGAAAAGGCGTTCGGCGACGAGTTACTCTTTGCGGCGATATCATTCTCAAGCTGTACAATCGCATATACATATGCTTAGCAATAAAAGCAATACTTCTTAAGATGTCGTTAGAACTGCAATTGTTTTATAAGAAATCAAGTAATGTAGGAACTGTTGACAGGATTGAGACTAAAAGAATATATATATTAAATACACTGAGTGACGTAATACAACTCACAGGAATGCGACGAATTCAGCTAAAATTTGAACGCGAATCAAGTTAACTGTAGTGATCGTGAGTGCTAAAAAATTTAATAAGAGATGAAGGAGGGAAATGCTACAATTAAAAAACTCTTCTATGTGTATCTACCAATATACCTGCTCATGTGGCGCAAACGATATATATATTATCATTGTATATTATATTATATATTATATAATATATTATATATATATTATTACGTATATATATAATTATATTATACGTATATAGTGTATCTATTATATACATATATAATATATTATTTTATTATGATATATGTATTATTATATCATTATTGCAAAACGTCTGGAAAGAGGGAAAGGTGCCTACTGACTGGAGGAAAGGTTACCTTGTGAAACTGACAAAGAAGGCCGACTTAGGACCCGGCAAGAACTGGTGAGGAGTCATGCTCCTGTAGACACCAAGTGAAATTCTGAGTCGCATCATCCTGAAGAGAATAAAGGACGCACTGGATACAGAACTCCGACCAGAACAAGCTGGATTCAGGAAAGGCAAATCATGTTCTGACCAAATTGCAACTCAACGCATAATCATCGAACAAAGCATGGAATGGAAATCAAACCTCTACCTCAACTTTATAGACTTTCAGAGGGCCTTCGACAGCGTTGACCGCGAAGTAATTTGTAAACTACACAAGTACTACTATGTTATCACCAATGATATTCCTAATTGTGGTGGACTGGATATTTCTGCTGCACTAAAGAAAATTAGCTACGTTTCATTCAAATGAAGCAGAGCTTTTGAATCATGGATAACGTAAGTAAGCAAGAATGAAAATGATTAAGCATTTATGTATACTAATAGGGCTTTTGGAGTAAACACAGGAGTCAGACAAGGGTGCTTATTATCACCAATGATATTTCTAATTGTGGTGGACTGGATTATGCATTAGACAGTGGGAAACGAGAAGACAGGGGCATCCTGGACAGACGCGAAGAACCTAGAAGACCTGGATTTCGAGGATGATTTATGTTTGATGTCACACAAAATCGAAGACTTACAAGCGAAAACCGACAAACTGGTCGAAGGAGCAGCAAAGACAAGACTCCAGGTGAACATAGACAAGACGAAGGTCATGAAAATAACCAACCAACCAACAACAACAACAACAGCAACATCCAGTGCCAATCACCATCAACGGGATGGATTTGAAAGAGGTTACTTCATTCACTTATCTAGGGAGCATTGTCTCAACTACAGGAGGAACGGACGAGGATGTCAAATCGAGAATCGGGAAGGCGAGAAACACATTCATCAACCCGAAACCAATCTGGAAATCTTCGTCACTCAGCATCAACAACAAACTGATTCGGATTTTCAATACAAACGTCAAGCCACTCAGTTCTTCTATACGGATCAGAAACTTGGCGGGTCATAAACATTATTTCCAACAGCCTGTTGCAGTCATTTATCAATAGCTGTGTTCGTTCTATACTGAAGATCAGATGGCCGGAAAGAATCACCAACAAGAAAATATATAGGAACAAACAAAACAAGAATCAATCGCCTAACAAATACGCAGGCGAAAGTGGAGATGGAGTGGACAGTCGCTGAGGAGGCGCCTGGGTGACATCGCATGTCAGGCTCTCGAGTGGAATCCGAAAGGAAAGCGGCGAGTGGGCCGTTCAAGGGTGACATGGGGGAGAATGTGTGAAGAGGAGTTGAAACATAAAGGACTGACATGGATGCAGGTGGAAAGTACAGCAGAAGACAGAATCAAGTGGAAGCGTGCAGTTGAAGCTCTATGTTCCACTGGGAACCCAAGGGAACAATAAATAATAATAAAATAAATACTTATCAACAAAAGCGATACTTTTAAATATGTCATTAGAACTGTAAATTTTATGTAGCAAATTACGTAATGTAAGAAGTGTTGATAGAATTGAAACTGAAAGAGTATTTAATACGTACATTGAATGAGTAGAATTCAGCTAAAATCTGAACGCGAATCAAGTTGACTGCAGTGGTAATGAGTGGTAAACATTTGATAAGGGATGAAGGAGGAAAATGATACAATTAAAAAACTATTCTGTGTCTACACACCAATATACATGTTCGTGTGGCGCAAGTGATATATATTGTTTGTTCGATGTTTTCAAAAGGTACGAAAAGGTAGCAGTAAACTAACAATGAGTATTATATTTGAATATATATTCAACATTGTTTACTCAATATTCAGGGTGAATTCGTGTCGGTCATCTACAAACGCAAAAGAAGCCTCATAAAACCGGTAAGATTCCGTGTAGTTTACATTCTTGAAGATTTAGCGATCCATATATAAAACCTTGATTTATACACACAGAAGTAACGTTTTTTTCAATCCTTTACGTTCTCAGTGGAACATAGGACTTCAAGCTAGAGAATTGAAGTTTCTGTAGCAGTTGTGTTAATTTTCACAAGACGAATTCGCTAGCCTCATACCCAACAGTTCCTCTTTATCAGCTTTAATACCAGCTTAACAAGGTAAAGGAGTTAATTGGTCGGGGGTTGAATCTCCGACCACATGTGCGGTTGGCGAGCATTCTACCACTGTGCCAATGACGTATTCATCCCCTACTCATACCTTAGGTATATTTCCAAGTTCGACCACTTTGCTACTTATATTAGTTTTGAATTTTTGTGTGGTATTTAAGTAGCATCATTTTCTTATCTAAACTTTTATTTACCCTTTCTACCTATTATATAATTCATTTCGGGCACTTGTTTTCATACTTTTTCACTACTATCCTATTTTTCTGGGTGTCCTAAATGTTACGTAATTCTAGTCAGGATTTATTAGTCTCTACCCCCTTAGTTACAACTTGATTATTTAAAAAAATAACCCTAGCTAATTTTCATTCTTGTCTGACAAACATTATTATAGATTGTACATCTAAGTGAATGAATTCTTTGCCGAAATGAAACTTTTCGCTGACCTGTTGTTTTTCTTATATTCATGTCTGGATGAGTGATTTTTGCGAAATATAGGTTCACTTAATATAGTTTTCTTTTGAAATTTTAAGGGCAATATTTTATTAAATTTACCAAAATGGCATTGGAACAATTCATCAAAATAATTAAATTATGAAAATATTTTCATAATTGATATGATTATTGAGAATGAATAGTGTTCAAAACGTCATCCAGTTATTTATAGTCTTCCACTGTTTGATATGTATCAAATATGAGCAATATTTTCACTGCTTTTCAAGAATATATACAACACATTGGAACATTTCTTCGTAATATTTCAACGTAAAGTAATATAATTAATTCCTGTAAGTCAAAAATGACTAACAGTGTTATTTGTGAAGAGATGAACTGTGACATCAGAAAATAATCCTTTTTTTCCTTCACGTTCCCCAGTGAAACAAAGGGCTTTAAACTAGTGGCTTGAAGTTTCTGTAGCAGAGTTTTTTTCAGGATGAGGTTGCTAGCCTCATGTCCAACCTTTCCTCTTCACCAGCATTAGCGGGATAAAGGAGTGCGTCCACCGGGGATCGAGCCCCGGACCATGTGCATGGTCGACGAGCATCCTAACCGCTATGCCACCGACGCGAAAATAAATCTTCATCTTCCCCAAAGTATTGCGACAAAATTCCTGGTATGACTGAAAATCACTTGGACTGAATGATGTACACCAATTGACTGAATAATCTCAGTGTGTAAATATTTGCGAGTGTGAATAAGGTGGCGAAACTTTTTGCACATGTTGACTAACATGATCTTCTTATTACCCCTCGATGATTACTAACATTCACCAGGGAACCCATAAATCTGCCTTTTGTTTTTTACGGCCCCTTGTCTAAATGGTGTATCTGAGAAACGTTTATTCTCCCTATGAGTTAACAGTTCGTATAGTAATAACCCATTCTGGATTACGTTAATCACAATTAAATCTCAACATCACTCAATGCAGAAATGAGTAGGTCAGGTTCATATCTCACACAGGATATAAATTTACTGAAGGTTCCGTAAATGTCTTTCTAAGGAATGCCAGTACGCATGAATCCTCAGGTCAAGGAGTTCCTGCAACTTGCGTGCAGTTATCTAACATGGACTTAAAAAGTACACTATTATGATGAGTTTCATAGCTAGTTAAACCCAAAGAAACTGAGCCCCAATAAGGAGTAGGCATGTGTCGCCGATTACTTCACAGTGAGAAATCAACATTAAGTAAGTTGACTCAGTCACATTCCACAAGCAATAGGGAACCTTTATAAATCTTCAGAGAAAGCATCATGTGTCAGTATTCAGTTATTTAGCTCAATGCCCACCATAGAGAATGGTACATTGTAAAAATGCGATTCCTTCTAGGCACTGCCCCATTATGATGCATTCATCGAAAGGATTTTCCAACAAGCTACTGCACACTCTGATTAACACTAGTCTTCGCGCGACAGAAAGTTTGTGGGAGTCCGGTAAAAGGGCTGTCAAAAATGTGACTGTAATGGAAACAGGATGATAAGTGTCTTTGTTCCACTCAACAAAGTTGTAAAATGTAAATATTGCAATACTAAGTACATAAACAAGCATATAATGGCCATATAATAATTTTCTAAAGTACAAGTGACTCACCCCAAAAATGTGATGACTCCAATCTTCTCAATATGCTGTTTAACTAAATTCCAAGTAGACTGAAGTAACTGGACTTGAGCCTCAGTTAGCGAGGAAACATTCTGCAAAGCGATTTCATGCTCTTTCTGTATCCCACTTATATCCTCAGGGACATCTTGTGTTAAATTTGATTTACTTCCGCTAGATGAAGATGGTGAGGTTGTGGAAGCAGACTTTACACTGTCTGTATCATTTTTTGATAAATATGAAGACGATGCTGAGGGCGAAGAGGTAGTCTTTTTCGGTGATAAGGATAAATCGTGCATACTTTTGTGTAGCGAAGAACTTCTTCCAGGCGTTAAGTGTTGTTTAAGACGTCTACGAAAGTTGGATAGCATACTGAACCCAGTCTCCTGGGATGTTACTTCCGGTGGTGGAAGTCTTTCTGACGATGATGGTGATGATGCTGCTGGATAGGAAACTGAATGTTCTAAACCAACAGGTCTGTAGGTCGGCTTTCCATCTATGATATTTTCTTTTAATGCTTCTGAAGGTTCTGTACAATCTATACTGACAGTGATATCTGGATCTACAGTGTCTATAGAATAGCTATCGACGGGTTTTAGTGGCAGGGATGAATTCAAAACAATATCTGTGGAGATTCCACTAGTGACTTGATTATTCATACTTGTTAGCTGTTCTACGGAGCCCATTTTTTTTATCAGTTTCGATGCTTCAATTCATTGAGAAAACATTTTACTGTAGTTATATACTGTCTTCTATGTAACGAAACGTCACGTTTTTCAATACAGACGCTTCATTTTATATACTGTTGTTGCGTTACTTTGTGAGGTAACACAATGACGAGGAGAAACTTATCCCACTAAGAACTGTGATTAGACAGTAGACCAATCATTTTGAGGAATCAGTAGAGTTATTTCCCATCAAAACAATAGAAAAATCAACTAGTCTGCTTGAAGGGAGGACAAATAAACAGATATTGGGAAAAAATGAAATCTACATTTCTATTGGTTCATCCATTTTTTTCCACTTATTTATTTATCCTATAAGCATATTTATTTATGATTCACCTATAAATATGAAGAATGCTTGCCATGCTTTTTTCGGTATTAAAGAGAAAGATGTTCTTAAATATCTTCAGTCCTGGACACCTCCTTCCTAATCTCCAGAATCTAGATGGTTCGCTCATTATTATACTCACAAAAATACGCTTTTGCTTTAGGCCATGAAAAAAACAAGTACTTCAGCTAAAAGGATCTTTTCGGTGAACTTATCATCTTCACTCTTGAATTTTTATCTGTCTGTCTGTTTTTGACATATAGCTTTGCACATATGTGCGGCAGTTCAAGTCGCCACACTCCATGTAGCACACAAAGCAAGAGAAGAAAGTAGAAGAAATGCATAATAGAGATAGACAGTAAACAGAGGTGTGAGACAAAGGAATAGTAATAACGAAGAACAAAACAGTTTCATTGGAAATCGTAAGTCACAAGGAATGGATGCATCTGCACCATCCATTGAGGACGATTTTGATCCATGTCACCAATTGTTTCCAACCATTGGTTTTTACCATCCCGAAGGCCCCGAGCACCACTTAGTCTACGCATGATTATTGAGCCTAGGACTTTAGATACTATATTAGTCAAGCTGATTCCTCTGTGATTATCACAAGAAGACTTATCTCCCTTCTTGTATATCGGGATGATCGGTGACTTACACCAGCCCGATGTGACTTCCTCTGATTCTCAGACGCTGCCTAGAACCTCAGTTAATGCAGACAGTAAACTGTCTCCACCGTGCTTAAATACCTCTGGAGTCATTCCATCAGGTCCCGCTGCTTCGCCTTTCTTCAGATTAGTGCCAGCTTCATTAATCTCAGTTAAGGACGGAGGACCTGTGTCTATATCCCATTCAAGGAGGTGTTAAAAGTTCAGTAGGTTAAGCGTGGATGTAGGCCAATTAAACTTCTCCTCATTGTACTCTTTCCAGCGTTCCAGTCGTCTATCCTGGGAGCTGATTATGGCCCCATTTTTTTCGGCAACTGTTTCACTTAGCATTTGCCTTTTGCCGCCTGTTTCCCCGATAAGTCAAAAAAGGTGTCTGATGTTACCAATCACCGATGTCTGTTCCATCTCTTTCGCTTTTGTCGCGCACCACTGTTCACGGTCGTTACGAAAACTTCTTATTATTTTTCGTTTAAGTACCTTTTGCTCCTCATCATAATGGGAGCTCGCCGGAATCAGTCTTATTGCGTCAATCAGTTCGGATGAGGCAGTAGAGATCCAATGGCTCTTACTAACTTTGGGTTTTAGCTTATTAACAGCTTTCACAGCTGTGTCTACAGTTAACTGTGTGTTGTGTGAGACTCCCTCGAGGGACGTCCTGCTGTCGACCTAAGAAACTCGTTTTGTTATTTCTTCCTTAAATAAGAACTAAGTCTATCGATCTAGTTGAGGACGTAACTGTTTCGTTGCCGTCAATTTCTTATGTCCATTTAGTCGTAAGCATAAACGTGCGCAAACAAGAGCGTGATCAGAGTCGACGCACGTGTATTAGAGGGAGCGACAGTCTTCTACTGACCCTCGCCAACGATACCCTATCGCTATGTGGTGTATCTGAGTCCAGCGTTGATTTGGTGATGGAGGGCACCAAGTCACACAATGTCTCTCTTTGTGCCTAAAGTTAGTGCTGACTAGGAGCAGATAATTATCTGAGCAGAACTGTAGAAGACGATGGCCGTTGTCGGTTCGTCGGCAGGGAACTCCATACGTACCACCTACATACTTCTCAGTCTAGCACAACTTCCCTACTTGGGCATTGAAGTCGCCTGCTAAAACAACTATATCTGAACGTTTTGCTTTTTGCAGCAAATAAGACAGTTTCAGATAGAATCTATCTTTTATTTCTTTCGAACTGCAGTCTGTCGTGGCGTAAGCAGAGACTACGAAAATGCAACAACGGGTAGCGCCGTCTTTCCTTCTTTTAAAGGACATATTCAGACGGACCGCACGCACACGAATATCTACTGGGATTCAGTCAAGAAGTGATTTTTCCGCCCTAACACTCAGTGCTATCCCTACACCTGCGAGTCCTCGCGATCTAACTGAGGGGTCTCCTGACACCCTTAAAGTGAATTTTGCACATTCACGTTGTTGGCCGGGTGAGGTCAAATGAATGACCACACTCGGGTCCCGTATGTCTGTCTCCGGTGAAGTGGTGTGAACGTAACAAGACGAAGTAATGTGTTCTTAAGAAAGCCAATCCAAAGGCAACATACATTTTACTGCCAACTGACACATTTCTACAGTTGTATACCTGTTGTAGAAGAAAAAACTAGACCTTTTGAAGTAAAATCTTTACCTCATATAAAAACCCACCAAGATTAAAGTGACAAGATCATGAAAGCAAAAGATCGGAGACACAAAACATTGTTTTTACTAAAAAAAAAAATTCACATGAACCTTCACTTCATAGCAGATCTAACTTCCGACATTTTGGAGAGAAGAATGTCGTCACCTTTGCGAAGAAAACTTTTTTCCCAGCAACACCAAGAGTATTGTTCTCCAGTCAGCCACTAGTCCACAAAAGCCTGGAAGACAGGATTTCACATGTGATTACTTCTATGCACATATAAGTTTGTCAGTTTGTTTAAGCCAGATATGGGGGTCTTTTGACGAATACTATGTATGACTATGTTTATGAACATCACCCTGCATGATTGCAGAAAGGCAGTGGTGTCTGGATGAGGACCTTGATAATTGAACCACTTGTCAGTGATATGCGTTCTGTCTCAGCAAAACCACCCCCGCGAAAGTAAAGAAGAACTTACCGAAGACCATAGGCTTTTATCTCATCGCACTACTGAGTCTGTAAACATTCACTTCGAGAAGCCGGAACTATGCATATAAAAGAGAAATATTCAACTACTTCTACGTTCGTAGGAACAAACTTATAAACGGCTTCTGACTCAATTTTACTTTTTTTGTTTTCTAATTCCTGATAACACTTATATTTCATCTGAACTCTTACATAATTCCATATTTTCCTTAGATTCTGTTCGCATCCTGATTTAAATTAATTACGGGAATCAATTATTTGTAATACGTTACTGTAATACTCTTGCTCAACTCTGCGTATGTATCAACTTATACTGGCAAATGTCGTTGTAACAAATCATCACTTTTATGACTGACGTCTTTCATGAAAAAAATGTTTAATAATGCAGTTAGACAGTTAATGGAGAACATAATTCCATCGAAAAGAGCCACATTGCTGAACCACTTGTTTTATTCCTTTTACAGTAGTGCCTAGATGAGGATTATTCCTGTCATTCTTTTTACTGATCTCTCAAATGTATCTTTCTCCAAAGATGTTTTTCCTTGTGGAAAGACGTTAAGTTTTTTCATGATGGCTCAATCATTGAGTGGATCATGGGTTTTAATAAACACTTATTGTTATCACCTCACCACTTTTCAAAATAAGCGAAAAATTGCCCTTACTTAACCACCGAACCTTCATGGATGGCTTTTAATGACCTAAACGAATTCGCTTACAAACATGGTTTATGCACTGTAGACGCCACCATTGTCTCCACTTTAGACAGTGAAGTACAGAACATGCTCTATGTAATTGAGGCTTAATCTTGGTCTCTTCTTTAAAAAGCTTGCTGTGGCACAAACTGAGTGCTTGACAAATAAATGGTTGCACTCTATTTTGCCCGGTCGGAAGCAATACACTGTATTTAAAGGAACGTCATTCCCTGTTTTATTTAATATATCCAATATCCCGCAAGGGGCTATCATCTTTACTTTTCTATACTCTTTCTTCGTACATGACTTGTGCCTTGTTCTGACCAAGCCGGTGTTCTTAGGATACCGATGATCTGACAGTTCCCTTGACAGTCACATATCAGCATGGTTGTTCTACACTGAATAGCTTGTCATCTGAACTAGTGGAACGATCTTTATCAAGTGCAGCTGAAACACATCTCTGATAATGTCAGAATGTGATTTCCACTTTCAGACAAAAAACATAACTTGTGTTGAGGGTTGACTGCTAGTCAAAATCGGTAGATTGTAATTTACGTCAATGTGTACGTCCTTAATATCGGTAATGAGAAAAACAAGAACAAAGACTGACTCAAAAACCAATCACAGCAAATTTTGCGTAGGCGGAAACAATTTGCAGATAGGTAATCTGAACTTCAAGAAACGGTCACAAAAAGATGAAAGATTAACGTTCAGCGAGAAAACACCAATCAGAAGTCTGTCTTTGTTCGCTTACAATAATCTATAACAATGTACATGAAAATATATAAATATGCTTTGATTTTCTTAATAAACAATGTGATGCCTGACGCCTGTCTTCTGTTGTCACAAACTTATGTCAACTGAATTATTCCCATATTTCTTTTACTGTAGAAAGCATTAAATTAAAGTTGAGTTTTAAATTTATTTTATTTGTTTTTTATTTTGATTACAGCTTGATTCCACACCATATTTTCAGTACAAGTATGGAATTTTCAGCATGGATATCGGTAGCCCAAATTTACAGGCCGACCATAGATATCGGGTGTGCGCCGGCAGAGGATCGAACCCTGGACCATGTGCATGGTCGGCGAGAGTCCTAACCACTGTGCCACCGACGCACATGCCTTTGATCATGTCTTT